ATTTTGGATTTATTGGGAACACGACAAAGGAAAGTGGAAACAAATGACGAAATGTGCAGTGAACACCTACGGGGTATCTGGGCCATGGATTGTGATGATGAAGATTGCGACCTGCATCTCAACACACGAGTGTGGGTGGCTTTACAACGCGGGGGTTCCACAATGGGCACGTCGCACCCGGGTATCGAACGCAGGGCGCGGCGCGCTCTGACACACACGGAGCCATCGGTGTCGTGATCCACTTAGCGCTCCCGGATTCAGCTCGCGTGCTGCGCCGAGGCCAGCCACGTGGAATCAAAACGCATTACCTCGTGTGACAACGTTGGCGGCTCGTGAATCCGAATATTGATAATAAGCCCGTGGGACGAGACTGATGGAAAAACTAAACTAAACACATCACGTTGACAATTCACCCCAGGGCCGTTGACGGAGACGTCGGCGCGTTTATTTTATTTTATGCCAAAAAAAACAACGAAGGAAAAGGAGCATTCGCCAGTGCGTGAACGGGCCCTAAATATCTTGATGGAATCCGACTGCGTGCTAGCAAGCCTAGCCACGTGGAATCACAGTGGATGGTGGAAATATTTGCTTAAGCAACTTCAAATGCATAACAGAAAGTCGTACACTGCAGATGCGTACACCACAGGCACGCGCACGCGCGCGCGCTTACCTGCGTGCGTGAACTGCTCACACGTGGTGGCGTAAAGCTGGCGTGCAGGAGGAAACCCAATATCATCTGGTGGGGCACTGTAAGGCTCCCTCTAGTGGAGGCCCTTCCACCAGCATTGGCGTGAGCAAGCAAGTTGCAGGGCTGCGTCTCCACATTTCACACGCACCGTGCGTGGTTTAATTTCATGTATATCCAGGTGAGAGCATTTTGAGACTAAATACCCTTTGCGAGTGAGACCTGGCATGCAAAACAAAGGTTTAATCTGTGTGCTAGCCATCCTATCCAGCTCGAATCGGATTACGCGTTAACGCTGTTAGCGCTGGTAAATCTGACTGCTAAAAGAGCCATGTCTATCGCATACAATTACATATTAATGAGATTATCAGAGCATAACAAACAGTGGCAAGTCGGATTACATACAATCCTATATCGCACTCACGATCCTACTCTCTCCGATCTGAGTCGAACAGGCTTGGTCTTAACCCGATAATGAATTAAATTGGGAATGAAACTCATACATGTACAATATATTTGATTGTTTTTCTCTTCCGTTTGAATTCAAATGTTGATGTTGACATCAGTCTGTCTTTAGACGGATACGTTTCCTGTTGGGATTTCTTGCACAGCGTGGTGCAACATCGCCCCTTGTTCGTAGGCAAAGGGGCTTTCTGGAAGGTGACGTCGCAGGATGACTGCTTAGGTCGCTTCAATTGCCTCTTGCGCACACATAGGTCGAGCGGCATCTCACTAATTGGCTTCACAATCGAACCGAGTTTAAATCTCGGGAGCGAGAATATTCAGAAAAAAGTGTTTTGGGTGAAAAGCCAAATGTGATGCGACGTCGATCGCAAATAATGATTTGACTGACAGTCGTCTGTTGCGCCAGCTTAAATTTGAACAACATTTCGATTTAAAGCTTTCGTGACTGCAACGATTAATCTTCTTGGTTCTTTCGGTAAAGTCACGTAGAAGGGAAATAATAAAATAAGAAAAATAAAACATAATAAAATAAAAAAAAATGTAAATGTTTTTTTATGTTTTATTATGTTTTATTTATTTTATTTTATTATTTCCCTTCTACGTGACTTTACCGAAAGAACCAAGAAGTTGAACAACATTATCTGAGGACCCTCTCCAACAATGTGCTACAGTAGCGGCGTTGTTGTTTGCATTGAAATTCTGGACCGGTTTTGGATTTCCCGAGGCTCGTCAGCCGACTGTGGCCTGTTTAAAACCAAGGCTGTCGTGTTGCCTGATGTTAGTATTGGCAAGAACACTTTATCAACACCAAGGGACTTGTTCGGTGCGGCCAAACTTCTGGGGGAGGGGCGTTTGTATCGCTCGAGACAATCAACTCACAAGGCATGAGAACCCCAGATTACTCACGGCCTGGCATCTCAGAACCCAGGTACCCGTCATTATAAGTCCTCCTGATAGCATGGCCTCTCTCGTTCGGCTGTATGATAGCGCATTCAATGCACCGTGGATATGAGAATCATTCAATGGATGTATACTCGGGCTGGTAAACGTAGATTTGTTTTCATGATAAATAACCACATTGAAAATAAACAATAAAAAAACGATTGTTGCTTTCATGTATATAGCCACGTCTAGCAACGAAGGGTATGACCACGGTTTCGTGGTGAGCACACTATGGATACGCCAGCCTCTTTCAAGACGTCTGGTCCGCGTGGAAGAGTAGGCCAAATACCCTTTGGTGCTCCCTCTAGCGGAGGGTCTTCCGACAGCAGTGGCGTGAGCAGGCAAGGTAATGGCACGGTTGTCCCTTTTCACTGACAAACCAGGGCATATTTACCACGCGGTGACTGCAGCCGCCGTGCTGTTTGTAGATTGGCGCGTGCCAATAATCAGTGCATTCACCACTCACGCGCCACTGAAAACGGCACCTGACTCTGGCAGGCTGCAAATCGATCGTGACAACGGTTACCAATTGACAGCCATAAGATGTGCGGCGTGTCACTTGACGTCTCGACACATTCGTCAACGACGCTGTGGGCTTAACAGATAAAAAGATATAGGCGACGTTTCGGGCAATGGACCTTCTTCAGGGAGGGTATTGGGAGTGCTGGCTCAACACCCCCCTCCGGCTGCCTGTACGTTGAACTTACTTCGCACCGTACGTAGCCAACCGAGAAATAACATTCGGCGTCACGTCAAACATTTGTCAGCTCACTGGTGCTGAACGCAGGCACCAATTAGCACTGCGCGGTGCTATGAGTGTGCTGCTGCTGCTGCGTGTTGCGCCTGATGGGAGTACGATGTGTGGCTGTGCCTGATATTCATAATGTGCGATGCTTTCGTGGTGTGCATTTGCTTTGCGTGCACATACTGAGCGGTGTGAGGCCGAGCGTCCCGTGCTCCATGTGCTGTGGGAGCGATCACGTGTCGTGTGTCTTGTGTCACGTGTTGCGATTGATACGTTGTATGTGTGTTGTGTGTCTGTTGTGTGTTATGTATGTGTGTGATGTGTTATGTCTGATGTGTGCGTAGCATATAACGTGTGCGTGTGCTGTGTGTGTGATGTGTTTGATGTGTGCGCTGTGTGTGTGATATGTGTGTGATGTGTGTGTAATGTGTGTGATGTGTGCTGTGTGTATGTAATGTGTGTGATGTGTGTGTGATATATGTGTGCTGTGTGTGTGGACTGTAATGTGTGTACTGTGTGTGTGCATGCACAGTCTGATGTGTGTGGTGTATGTGTCCTGTTTGTGTGTGCTGTGTGTGCTGTGTGACGTGTGTGCTGTGTGTGTGTGCTGTGCGTGTAATGTGTGTGACGTGTGTACTATGTGTGTGATATGTGTGTGCTCTGTGTGTGTGCTATGTGTGTGATATGTGTGTGCTGTGTATGTGTAATGTGTGTGTGTGATGTGTGCTGTGTGTGACATGTGTGTGTGTGCTGTGTGTGTAATGTGTGTGACGTGGGTGTGCTGTGTGCGTGTGTGCTGTGTGTGTGTGATGTGTGTGCTGTGTGTGTGTGCTCTCTGTGTGTGTTGCGTGATGTAATGGAAATCGGTTGCGTAGCGTAGGCGCTCTGCACGACACCGCCCCCAACGCCCAGACGCGACTCGTCACCGTCCACGTCAACACGCAGCAGAACGCGGTTTGAGCCACCGCGAGATTTACAACACGAAGAGCCGTGGCACCTGCCGTGGATGGGCAGTCGGGCTGATGGTGGTCAACATCGCGATATGGAGTCGATACTCCGTATCGTGAACCGCCGCGATCTGGGCCACTTCGACGGAGGAGGAAACAGCAAACAACTCCACTACCGCGTTCTACCGAAGCCCTCCTCGTCGTGGCGAGCAGACCTCGCCATTGGCATTTAGCTCCTGGACGTATTGCCAGAAGCAAGAAGGGAAGAGCAGTGGGGAGACAAAGACGGCCGGGCGGGGAAGGGGGTTTGGGATCACTTACCCAGGCGAAAAAAATAAAGATTATAATTGGCACTCGCCTGATTTAATGAAGGACGTTAGAATTTTTTGAATTGTACTTTCCTCGACATGTTTATGATTTCGGAAAACATCACGTAATCCGCATCACCGTCGTGCGTTTGTTAAACGGAGTCAACGCCAACCCGAGCGCATGGATGATCGTCACACATTCAGAGATGAGCGCACAACGCAGTTGGGTATTGGACGCACGTGCGCTAATAAGCCACGCGCAGCTTCACTGGCCAATGACGCAATCGCCCCAACTGCGAACGTTCCCGTGTTGCGTGCAAACGACGATTTACATCCAAGACGCCTGCCCGGGGATGAGCGGCACCGAGCGAGCGAGTGACGGGTGGAAAGTCGCACGATGTTCCAGAAGGGTTAGAAAGCTACGACGTGGTAGCTACATATAATAACCGTGCTGAAATCTATAGAGGGAGGAAAAAAAATCACGTGAACCAAATGTCTTCGAATTTGATCCCCCGCACACGAGAGCCTGGGCTGAGGCTGATGGGTTCCCCTCCTTATCCGCTTGGCTCAGCCTAGAGTTCCACATTTCTACAAGTGTCACAACCAAACACTTCACACATTCAATGACCATCATCCGCTTTGAACCGACCCGACATACGGAAACGCACTGTGCATAACAACAATGTGTTCGTCGCCCGGACATTGGCGTGCGTAACGCGCCGCAGCTGCGGTGCCGTTCCAGATGCCCGCGAGCAATGCCAGTCTATCAGCACACCTGTAGTACGATCACGCCGCCAGCGACAAGGAGGCGGCAGAGGTAGAAGGAAGAATGAAGGGGTCGTGACAGCTAAACGGCCAATGACGACGCAATTAGAGCGCCGCTCGCAAACACCGACGCATCTACTCACTCGCTCGCCCGGCCTTGCACCGGTTCAGAAGGCGCTGGACGGTGGCGATGTCCTCGTTCTTCACGGCTTGTACGAGCTCCTGATCCTTGCCCATATCGGCAGCGGCGACGGAGACGGAGGTTCACTCACGAACCACACGCACGCTCGCTAGCCGGCTACAGACGGAGATGGTCAACAAACCTTCAGAGTCCACCCTCGCCACCAGGTCCACCTCAATTGCCTGGCCGGCCGGCTGGCCTGCCTCCCCGATCTCACCCCGAGTTAACCCTTCCAGCCCGCAGGGAGCCGCGCGTGTACGCAGCAGAGGGAGTCGAGCTCGTGTAGTTTGGATGTCCTCGGTTCGTGGGTTGAGATGCGAGCCCCGGGCTCTTTGCTTGCTTGTTTTTGTGTGTGTGCGCGCGTGTTTGTCTGAGAGCGTGTGTGGGATGTATGCGTGTAGCCGTGTGTTTACGTAAGTCTGTGTACGCGTGTGTGTGTTTACGTGCGTGTGTGTGTCTGTGTGTGTGTACGCGAGCACGTTGCTTGCTCAATTCAGTCTCCGATGCGGGAGGAATCCCCGCCGCGCTTCAGCTGCGCTGCCCCCGCTGCTGCTGCCGCTGCTGCTGCCGCAGATGGAATTCGCCGGCCTGACGCGGCCGCCTCTGCCTCGGCGCATCCCGCCGACTGGGCTCGCGACGCAGCAGACATCACAACAACAGCGGCGGCGTCCGTGGGACTGAGCGCGCAGAGAGGCATTCGTGGGGCTGGGCTGGGCTGGCTCCTCTCGCTGGCTCGCTGGCTCGGCTCGCTGGCTCGGCTTGGCTTTCACTGGCGTCCTGTGCGCCACACCGCGCCAGCAGCGGGAGCCCCTGATATCTGCGCCATCATTCTCGCGTATTCCTCGCGCTCGCCCCTCTCGCTCTATCTTCTCCCCCCTCTCGCTCCCTCCCTCCCTCTCGCTCTTCCGCCGTGAGATGCGCACCCACACGCGCGCAACGTTTGCGTGCTAGCCGACGAGTCGCTGCAATTGAGTTGTATTTTTTTTTCTGCTGCTGCGATGATGGTGATGATGATGGTGGCGGCGGCGGTGATGATGGTTGTAGTGGTGATGGCACGGAGTCACGCCTGTTCACACCATCTTCGCCGCGTATTCCGAGCCTCCTCCATGAAAAGGAGGCGGGACGCGCTGATGATGTAGCGAGGCACACATAGGTAGGCAGGCTCGCACTCACTCACACGCACGCGCGCACACGCATACAAGGACAAAGATCCCCCGTATAGCCTTTGTCAGGCCGGGAGGGCAAGTGCTGGTAACGAGTAGTACCTATGACGGCCGGCACGGCACACGAATAGGGTGTGTGTGGCCAACACCACGTCCGGCCGCCTTTGTCTCCCCAAGTGGCGATGATTACACATCGCACCGGGTACTCTATTTTTGAGGCTTGAGTCGACCGAGGGGGAACCCCAGGACCGGTTCAGATCGTCGCACGCACACACGCACACACGCTCACACGCTCACACGCACACACGCACACACGCTCACACGCACACACGCACACACGTACACACGCTCACACGCACGCACGCACACACGTATGCACGCACGCACGCACACACGCTCACACGCACACACGCTCACACGCACACACGCACACACGCTCACACGCTCGCTCCACACGATCATACGCGCAGACCCACACATGTGCAAGCACAAAAATACAAAGATCCCCCGTATAGCCTTAACAGACTGTTGGGGCAAGTGCTGTTAGCGAGCACCTATGAAGGCAGGAACGGTACACAAGGGGGTGGGTGGCCAGCACCACGCCCGAACGCTTTTGTCTCCCCAGTGGCGATGTTTACACACCGCACCAGGTATTCATTTGAGGCTGAATCGACCTAGGGGAGGCCCACAACCGATTCAGATAATCGTCACTGGTGTTGGCCGTGAGCGGGAATCGAACCCCGGGGCGCCAGGTTCGTAGCGCAGCGTAGCGCTAACCACTACACAACCGCTCCCCACATGTGCAAGCACACACTCTCGTGCACACACACGCAGACACACACACACACACGCGCACAAACTAATCATGCACACGCACACACACACACTAACCACGCACACACACGCTAACCACACACACACACACTAACCACACACACACGCACACTAACCATGCACACATACACTAACCACACACACACACACTAGCCACACACACACACTAACCATGCACACACACGCACACACTAACCACACACATACACACTAACCATGCACACACACTAACCACACACACACACTAACCACACACACACTAACCATGCACACACACGCACACACACCAACCATGCACACACACACTAACCACACACACTAACCATGCATACATACGCACACACTAACCACACACACACACTAACCACACACACACACTAACCACACACATTAACCACACGCACACACACACTAACCACACACACACACTAACCACACACACACACTAACCATGCACACACCAACCATGCACACACACGCACACTAACCATGCACACACACACACCAACCATGCACACACACGCACACTAACCATGCACGCACACACACACCAACCATGCACACACACGCACACTAACCACGACACCATCGTCACCACCACCAGCACCACGGCACCATCGTCACGTGGTCCTGGTGGTGGTGGCGATCAGGATGATAACGACGCTTGTGATGGTGATGGCGACGCTCGCGATGATTGCTGCCGCGGATGTTTGACTGATGCGGGGTCTCGGTGGGGGGTCAGTGCAGAGACGAGGCTGTGACGAGGCTGTGCGCGGTCCGATTGCCGATGGGAGTTGCACGTCGTGAACAACTCGGCGGCGACGTTGCATCACCAAGGCCTGATGCATGTTTGTACGTCGAACTTCTTTCGCGCCGTACATAGCCAACCGTGATAATCGTCGGTGCTGTGGGTTGCGCGTGGTCGGTGCGCGTCTGTGTAGGTCGACTCAGCCTCAAATGTGGTGTGTAAACATCGCCACTGACATAAAACAGACACACATTGATGATAAAAACACATACAAGACAAACACACGTGTTTATTACACACGCAAACCTGGGGTGACGTCGTCACTGCGTGTGCCAGGCTAGGTGTGCAGATATACGCGGGAAGCACACGAACAATATACGTGCAGCTCCCATGCACACCTCTCAGTAGCACCTCGATCCCATGTCACAGTGGAGCAGTCCCCGTGCCGCGTGTACAGCTACAGACACAAACCACGTCTACAGCTACAGACACAAACCACGTGTACACACCAGACCCACGTATACATACCAGCCCCACGTGTGCAGCTACAGACACACGTCACGTGTACACTCCAGACACAAACCACGTGTACACACCAGCCCCACGTCTACAGCTACAGACACACGTCACGTGTACACACCAGACACAAACCACGTGTACACACCAGCCCCACGTCTACAGCTACAGACACAAACCACGTGTACACACCAGCCCCACGTGTACACACCAGCCCCACGTCTACAGCTACAGACACAAACCACGTGTACACACCAGACATAAACCACGTGTACACACCAGACCCACGTGTACACACCAGCCCCACGTCTACAGCTACAGACACACGTCACGTGTACACACCAGACATAAACCACGTGTACAGCTACAGACACACGTCACGTGTACACACCAGACACAAACCACGTGTACACACCAGCCCCACGTGTACACACCAGACCCGAAGATGCACGATGCCAAGTGAGAATTCGTTGAGAAGAGCGATGCCCATTTCTGGAAATGCATCCGCCCGCCCTAATGCTCACTCACCTACGCTTCCCCGAGCGCTGTTATTGCTGAGTAATAACATCCAAGGTTATTAGCGTGACAAAGTTTAATTAATTCGTTGTCCTGTAAAACGCCCCGGTACCAGCCCGTCATAGGTACAGCGAGATTTGTGTGTTTTTGATATCTTCCTCTGAACCACAAACATCACATTTCCAAGTGACTAAGGGACCGTCCATAAATGACGTCACGTGATTTTTTACGATTTTTGACTCCCCCCCCCTCGTCACACGGCGTCACAAAAAGTCAAACCCCCCCTCAAATATGACGTCACAAAGCTCTGCCCCCCCCCCAAAATAAAACGTGCTTCAAATCGCTTTAAACTATTGTTGTCATTGCAGTGCGTATTTAATGTGGCGCTGCACTCTGATGTTGTAGGAGAAAACATGTATTACAAAGTATATTTAATTAAGTAGAACGTGTTGTCTATATTTATTTAAAGTTGCGCATTTTGATGTGACGTCACATTTCTCAAACCCCCCCCCCCCCTCGTCACACATCGTCACAAATGTTTGACCCCCCCCCCCCCTAGGTGCGTGACGTCATTTATGGACGGCCCCTAACGAGACGTATTCCAAAGTCGCGATGCTGGTGTGCGTCTTCGTTCGCGACACTCCACTTGCCATGCAGAGATCACCGGTTCGATGACGCGGCAGTTGAATATATTGTCACAGACACAAGCACTAAAGCCAATGCAAAGATCCCCCGTATAGCGTTAACGGGCTGTTGGGACAAGTGCTGTTGGCAAGCACCTATGAGGGCAACACACACACACACACAGCACGTGCGCTTGGCTCACGCAGTGACACGTGCCAGGCTCGCTGGGAAAGTTAAGTGCCGTTTAATTATCCCCACAACTTCGAGGTAGCCTGAGGGTTGACGCTACGACGTCACGGCCACGAGCGTGAAGCCATCGAAGCAGAACGTGAACATCACGTGACCATAACGTGAACATCACGTGACCATAACGTGAACATCATAACGTGCATCCGCCAGAGGCGCGCATCATCATCACAATGAGCACGCGGCTTTGTTGGCCACGTGGGCAAAGCGAGGCGGCACACTCCCCTTTGCTCTTTGCTTGCGTGCGTGCGTGCGTCCTTGTGGGACAAGGGACAAAGATGTCCGCTCCCCCCCCCCCCCACGTGCAGCTGACGCAGATTGTTGGGGCTAGGGCGGTTAGCCGGCACCTATTGAGGCCGGCGACGGCGCTTGGCCGAAATCACACCCGACCGCGTTGTTTTATTTTGAATTATCTCCAATGCTGATGCTCATGCAGATATTAATTTAAGTATGAGTCGACGTAGGTGAGGCCCGGCAAACGTTTTCAAATATTTGACACTGATGTCAGCTAACAACAATCTGGTAGAGGCGGTACGGGCGGATCCGTTGTCTGTGTCGTTGCTGGGGGAGCGGTGGGCCAGTGGTGCAGTGGTTAGCGCGTTGCACTACAAACGCGTCAGCCCCAGTTCTATTCCTGGCCAAGGCAAACTTCAGTGTCGAATGATCGTTAAAACCGTCTTGGGTCTCGATGAGAGGCGTCGTCCCGCTCTATTTAAGGAAGCAGGTGTATTGCTTCACTCTTCCTGGCAAATCGCCCGATGATGCTGGATGTAATTACCAGCGAAACGTCGTACTACTCAGATTGTAAATGCTTGTGGATTTACTCTCCAACACACCGGTGGACTGAAGTAGTAACGAATTAGAACTGTTGTTTACAGTGACAAACCTTACTGTGTCGGGTGGTGGAGGGATTACGACACATTTATACTTACGCGATCTAACCCAAAAACCTTTATTATGAATAATATTGATCGTGCAAGCCTACGCGTTAAACGTATGTCTTCTCAGCTTAAGGTGAGTATGCATGTTGAACTTCTTTCGCACCGTACGTAGCCGACCGTGCTTATCGGAGGTGCGGGGGAAGGACAACAAACTGAACACAAACAGCAGTTCTATCGAGGTTTAAAGGTGCAGACTGTCCAATAAAAATACTTGAATTTTTTTTCATCTCATCACTTTTTCAAACTTTGCATTTCACTGAAATGTCACACAAATGAATAACCAATTGCGCAGGCTAAGTGGTCTCATATTTAAAACATCGTCCAGCGTAGACTGGCGCAAATGAACTGATGCAAACCGATGTAAGTTGAAAAATGTTCATTTTTTCAAGCATATTTTGTTTAACCGGGTGAGAACTTAAAAGGCTAAGACAATCTCATTTTGCATGTTCCAGCAGGAATAGTGATCTGAGAGTT